TATATATATATATATATATATATATATATATATATATATATACATATATATACATATATACATATAAATAATTTATATATTATCATATATATACAGGGTGTTTTAAAATTCATGATACACCCATTGTGTACAAATAGAACTTATCAGATTAAACACAAAATTCCTTTATCGTTTCCCAAACCACATAAAATCTCCAGCTATTAATTAAAGAAGATTGATGAAGGATCACGCGCAATACGGTAAAATGAATTATGATGGTCATGTCTACCGCTGTGTACTTGTACACTTGGTTACTAAACGGTGGCCACATATTTTTCCGAATGAAGTTATAACGCTTTTAGTTCTAGTTTACAAATTAAAAGACACTGCTGACGCGTTTGCGCTATAATCAGTTATGACAGGAGTCAAAATGACAGTATAAGATGTGAAAATAAATTTGATTAATATAACGATCAAATTATTATTATCCTGTAATTTAAATTATGAACTTGTGGATTTCAAAGGTTTAAAGACATCCCATTATTAACTGATTACAGCGCAAACACATCAGCAGTGTCTCTCAATTGTGGCAACTAAGAGCGCTGCGACTTTGTTTGGAAAAATGTGTAGCCACCGTTAAGTAACATTATACAAGACATTATACATTATACATTATAATGTACTGAATGTACATTATAGGTCAAACTGAACAAAAAAGTCCTCTACTAATTTGCAAATGGCTACGTAAATTTCTGCACAATCATGCACTAATCTTTTTTAATTAATAACTAAAAATCTACGTGGTCATTTGCAAGATGATAGAGGACATTTTTGTTCAGTTTGATCTAATATAGGAGCACATGACGGCAGACGAGACGTTTTGTATGAATTTCATCGAGCTTTTGATATCGTGGAATCTATTAATCCTCCATTTTTTATATGTAAGGTAAATAAGTACGAGTATGGCATGGCAGGCAGTGCACTGGTCTGTCATGCAAGAGGTCCCGGATTCGATTCCACGGCAGAACCAAATATTTTCATACGCTTGTATCTCCTCTCGGAAGGCAATGGCAAATTACCGAGAGTATACTTGCCCAGGAAACCCTCTCTACCAAAGATGTCGCCGTTCGGAATCGGCGTTAAATGTAGGTTCCATGTACTTGTGTATACAATCAGCATGCACACCACAAAGCATATGAGAGAAGACACCAACGTCTGGAGGACCAGATAAGGACCACATGAAGAAGAAGGTAAATAACATTAATTAATAATCGTGTCTCAATTTATGACGATTTTATCCGTTTCTCTAACTAAGGCTCGACTCCATCAACGTCCTTAAACGTTGATTCGTGGTCTGTTCTTTATAGCTGCACTGCTGAACTGGTGCAGTAAGTTAGAATGAGATAAATATATTTTTTATCGTATCACGCGTGATCATTCACCAATCTTCTTTAATTGATAACTAAAAATTTTACACGGTTTGCGAAATGATAAAGGAATTTTGCGTTGTATGAGTTTGATGAGTTCTGTCTGTATACAACTGCTGTGTCATGAATTGTTACCTTGTATAATTTTATATAATTATATATAATCATTGTTTTCCCGGATAGGTACTCGAAGCATGCGCTTTCGCCTCGAGGAAGTGCAAGTTTGTCTACAGGGGAGATCCACTTATCGTGTCTGTGGCATGGCTAATAAGAATGCGCTAGTTCAATCTAAGTTCAATCGAAACACGCACTGTGCCCGCAAGGATCCCCGTGAATCCGTAGCTCACGACTCTCTACACTTTCTACACACACGAGACACCAAGAGAGCGCTCTCATGATCCTCCAGTTCAACGTCAAGCAGTTGGAAGTGTGATCGATCGGCGCGTCGTTCGTTGGCGTCGATCGACGCGAGCCGGTGGGAAGCCGTGCAAAATGTCGCAGCCTAGCCGGGATAAAGTTTACCGGGGCGGGGTGGGAGGTTTGTACTCTCTCGTTCTCGCAGAGAAGATAACATGATACGCGACGGAAGAGAGGCGAAGAAGCAAAGAGAAAGGTGCAGCTAGGCCAGGCGAGCCAAAGAATCAAAGTATGGCGGCAGGCGGTTTGCTCTAGTCTCGGACGGGGGTGGTTGCGGTCTCTGAGAACCTTCTGATAGTGGTTGTAGAGGCTGGGCAGCAGTTGGAAGGCCCATGCGGGCGCTGTTTGCATCGCGTTCGCCACGTTCTGATAGGTAGACACACTGCTGCTGCTGCCGCCGCCGCCGCCGCCGCCGCCGCCGCTGATAACGTTGCCGGTGATACCGCCGCTTCTGCCACCACCATATGCGGCGATACCGCCTGTGGTTCCACCGGCGGTGCTCCCGTTGGCGATGCCCGTGGCACCGCCGACGGTGACGTCGTCGACGACTCCGTTGCCACCGATCTGCCGCCGGGTCGCCGGTGCTTCCTGCCGCTTTAACCCACGCAGAAGCTCCTTCTGCAGAGCGCTATCGACGCCGAGGAACTAACGGGATCGGATGTGCGTGAAACATCGACATAGATACTAATGGTGAACGTATGTACATACGTCGGATACGCTTCTCGTCGTAAATGCCATGCAACGGTGCCGGCCGACTCGATTTCCGCCTCGAGATCTCAGGTCGAGAGCCGTATCGAGAGGAGACGCGTGTCTCGTTGCTTGAAAGCGCAGGGCGCGCGTTCAACGGTGGTAACGCGCGTGCTAACGTTCGCCAATATAATCGTCACGCTACAAGCGCCAGCAATAACGTAATAACGCGCGTGCCAGTGAGAAAAATCGTTGTTATCCTATACGCTTGATTACGAATCGAGAAAATCGTGCATGAGAGATGCCGAGCGGATGTCAAATCGTATTGCCTACTACGCCTATTGATGCTGCGTTTCTTTCTCTCTCTCTCACTCTCTCTCCCCCTCTAATTACGTGTACCCCCTCTCATAGTCGTTATCCTCGCTTTGTGCATGAAACAACGCGTGAAGCAGAATCAAAATAATCGCACCATAACACACAGGCCACTCACCTTACGAGTAAGATCCGTAAAATAGTTGTAGGTCTTTAAATATGTACCCAACGACAGAACGTTGCAACGCTCACAACTGAGCTTGCAAGTGCGTTCCATGAGTCTGAGCACATGCAAGAAATCCTCGGCGACGTAGTGATCCTCCTCAAGGAACAACACCATCCCGGTGTGATTCCTTGTCACCGACAGCCGATCAAACACACGATTCGCCTTCCACCACCAGTGGTGCTTGGTTTGCGTGAATTTAGCTTCTCTATAGTGGCCATACAAGTCCGGGTGCTTGGCGTTGGCGCACTTTAAATTTAAGGCCCTGCAATTTGTGGGAATGTAGGCCGAATTTAACCGCACACTTTATGAATATTTCTATCAATCTTTATCGGATATTTTAAGCAGGGAGAAGCGTGTGGCAGTAGTATGTGTGTGTATGTGTGTGTTTCACTCACTGTTCTTTACGAATATTTCGTGGACAGTCGTTGGGCCCCTCGCCGGGGAACGTATGTGGATGAGTCTGTATACTATGCGGATAAAAGATCTGCATAACCCGACAAAAATCGACGCTCTGTACAAGGTAGTTGATATCTGGGTGCCAAATATCGTGGCTGAAGACGAGGAGAGCCTGCTCAATGTCCTTCGCTTGCGCTAGCGATACAATTAGATGTCGGAGATAAGTGAGCCTCGTGTGCACTTGGATAACTATGATAGGAGCGTCGCTAGCCAACGGCCCAAACGCCTCCTCGTTGTACACTTTCTGTTCCGCATTTGCCCTCTCGATCTTACGCCGGATTTCCGCAATCTCGAATTCCGTGAGCGCGCCGGAGCTCACGTTCGTCAAGCCGGTGGACGAATTACGACCCTCCTTCAGGAACCTGAAATGGAGATCACCCGCGACATTATATTATGGCAGAAAATAAGATGCTCTCAAGAGATTATGATAACTATGCTGAGCAATGTTACTTTTCGATCGAGAAATCTTAATTTATGACGTCAGAAGAGCATGAAAATACATGTTAAAAATTCTTGCAAAATACGTTGAAATAAAATAGTATGTTTACAAAACGACACAGTCGATTGACCAAAAGAGAGTCTTTTCTTTTGTTGTAACAATTAATAGATAATGTTAAAGTTAACATGAAAAAATCATGAGAAAATATAAGTTAAAAAGATAGATTGCATGCACGTTAATTTTGTGGTAATTTATCGATTGTTAGAGCAAAAGAAAAGTGTTCAAACTATTTTATAGATGTGGCCGATCAATTGCAAATGTCGTTTTATGAGCGTATCTTTTTATTTCAACGTATTATGTAAAATTTTTTGGCGTGAGTTTTCCTGCTTTTGACATCATCAATCAAGATGGTTACGGCAAAGAAACAGATAGCCTTAACAGTCTGCAGGAGTCATAACCATAGGAAATCTATGGTGGAGAGCTGAAATAGACAAAGCAAGTTACAAAGAGAATTACATTATAATTATGATATTCGTAATCAGTAAAATTGTCTTCACTGTAGAGTGTTTTTTTTGGGAAAAAGGTTAAAATAGAAACCAAGTAATTTATTTGAATGAGCATTGTACGAAAAGTACAATATATCAGAGTTTATACATTAATTCTTTGTACATTTTTAAGGGCTTAATTGCAAAACCCGGTTCTGTAATGCATTTTGCACCTGTAAGGAAAGAGAGAAGACTGTAGAAATAGTCTGGTATATAGTCTCGCAAATATAACGTTTGTGAGGCATGAAAAATTGCAGATATTACAGAAAATGTAGTCTAGCTGTACTAACTTGCAGCTGTTGCATCCGCACGAGGGATGCATTAAGTGGAGAGCACAGAGACTTTTGCATAATGTATAATACATAACCCTTAAGGAAATAAACAAATCGAAGTCCTTCATTTCTATCTTTACAATGAAAATGGAAGACTCTCATTGTTTCACTTCATTATACGTTATGTATTATGCGTTATGTAAAAGTCTGTGATCCCCGCTTTAGTATTCACATGTATATGGACATACAACTACGCACACAGAACGGCGTTTTATGCTCACGAGGTTTTCAAAGTCAAATCAGGATTCGATTTGACTCCTGCGGATCTTTCAACGAGATTACGAATAACACAGTGAAACCTTCCGAGAAAAACATATATCTGTATAAATATAAATCCCTTTAAAACATTTAAAAAACTCACTAGAATTTCAAAAGTTTTAAAACTATTAAAAAAAAAACCTAAACATTTTGGGGACAAAAATGACAAATCTGACGATATTACAGCAATAATGACTACAATAGCGCCGTCAATAATAATTTTAAAATCTTTACCTGTGCAATTCTTGAGGCACGAGGGAGAAAAGGGTTTCATTCGACGAGGATTGCCCGGAATCATCTCGACCAGTCAAACTAAACGTCACGTGAAGTTGTAGGTAAAGGAACGTAGCCAGAAAAACGAGCACAAGGGTCCTAAGCAGAATTCCACGGCCTGATTTCGACGTTCCAACGACCGTTGTTCCTAAATATAACATTCGTTAAATAAATGTACAATGCATTTTCTGTGCTTTATTGTCACACGATACTAATTGAACTCCTTTCTGTCTATTTCTAAAATTACATATAGATTAATTGTAAAATATTTCATATAAAATTTAGTTTAATTTCAATATCTTAGCGTAATTAGAAGTAACTTTAATTAACATTGTAATTAGAAGTATTGTGATTATTTGATATACGTAAAGTTAAATTAAAAGTAATATTAAGTATTATATAATATTTATATATAATATTTTATATATAATATTATATATTTTATATATTAATATTACATATAATATTTTAATTAAATTAAGAGTAATATAGGCCAATAAAAGTCGTGCATCGGATTGGTGCGAATAATTAATTTATGAGAGGGTAATATTATTTAACAATGTGAATACACGTACTAAACATTTTCTGTACATTTTAATTAAAATACTTCTAATTAAAATACTAATTAAAATTACTTCTAATTAAAATGCTATGTTACTAAAATCAAATTAAATTTTAAATTAAATTTATTACAACTAATATATATATATATATATATATATATATATATATATATATATTGAAGAGAAAAATGGATAAAAGTTACTCATCACAATCAAGTAAAATACGTAAATACAATAAAATCCAGCGAAAATGGAATATTATACAACGACGTAACATCATTAGACTTACCTCCTGACTTTTTCCTGGTATATAATGTACAGCCAGGATACTGCTTCGCAAAACCTTGTATGGTCGGGTCGTGTGCTTTTCCTATACATACAGACAATCGAGCGATAGTGATAAACAAGTGTACGTACATAAGCGAAAACTGTGCTCCAGTTCTTATTCATACCACCCGACGCAAATTTATTGTCTCCCAAACCGCGATATTATTATCTTGAAAAATGGTCGGTGCGCAACGAAGCATGATTCAACGCACAAGAAAATAGTTAGATAAGGAGTCTCTCTAATATTTGAATTTATCTACACATTTTATGCGAGTTTTTTGTATATACTAACAATAAAGCATTTGGAACAAACATTTGGCGTTATACGCACAGAAAAAACATATTACATTCAAGTAAATATTATTTTTTTCAAGTATTCCGTTTGTTTAAATACCTGCAATCTTATCACAAAAGTGTTCCTCATAAACACCAAATTTCTTCAAAACAAAATTCTGAATTCTAGTAACCTTAGCTTTTCAATCAAGATTGTTGAATTAAATAAAAATTCTATTTAGAGTCTACATAGTTAGAGTCTACTTAGAGTTACATAGAGTCGAACCAACTTTTTCCTCGATAAAATGTTATAATTTTATACAAAGATTACATTCTTTTTTAAGTACGTGATAATAAGCTTGTTTAAAATTTGTGATAAGAATAGAAAGTTCAAGGTAACTATCAAAAAAATATTTCTTATTGGAAATAATCATTACTTAAAAGAAGGAAAATAAATTTAATATTCGCTTTTCTTAGCAGTACAATGATATTTTTGTATATACATAAAAAATGTATATTTCATTCAAATAAATGTTAATTGTTTCAAATATTTCATAAGTTTTTATATTCGCAAAACTATTATACAATTTTATCTTAAACATCAAATATATTCAAAATGCTTTCTGAACTTTTAAGTTTATTAACCCGAAGCTAAGCATTTCAATGAAGAATGTTAAAACAAAAATTCGACTTATTTACTATTTTTTTCTTTAATAAAGTTTCATAATACTCCTTGTACAGTGATTAAAATTCTTTTTTTGAATGCATAATAATAAGCTGAAATTTGTAATGAATATATTGTAAGATTATGTTATCAAGAAAATATTCTTTATTGAAAATAATTATTACTTAAAAAAAGGAAAATTAACTGAGTAATCGTTTTCTTTTTTAACGATAGAATGACATTTTCTGTGTGCTGATGACAATTATTATTATATGTTTAATTTAATTATGCTAATCTATCGTTAATATTTAATTCGCAGAATAATTATGCACGAGATTGATACGAAAGTATTAAATATGAAAATATCGGAAATGCACGTTAATGTCGCTTGGGAATGGACACGGAAGATAACGGGAAATATCGAGATGACGTAAAGTCATGTCGCGTGCATAAAATTACAGTAAAGTAATATTGATACGATCGATGCTTCGAAACGATGCTATCGACGAGCTAAAAGTTGCCACGTGCGGGCGTGACCATGTACTGCGCGTGAGCGCAATAAAAAACTCTTGGCGCGAACACACAGTGCATTTGCATCGACTATTTGGCAAATAATTGTACTATCCCGCCTGGAGAATCGAAACACGCACTGCGCGAAATTAAAACTACATCACGCCGGTAGTACTGAATGCGAAACTCTGCCATTTGCTAAATATTCGATAAATGCAAACGCGCCACGTTTATATAATGAATTTTACCGTATTATCATATGTAACATTGTCGCGACGCACATTACCTCACACATTTCACGAGACACGTGTATCGACATGATGAATATTTGTCGAGTGTATACGCCATGCAGAGTCGCTTTTACATAACGTCGTTCGGAAATTGCTTCACATGAACGTGCGCGCGTGTGTGTGGATGCACAAAGGAGACCGAGGCTATATGTCCTATATTTTAGAATTTCGAGGTTACAGCTTCTCACGTAATTAATTGCTATGACTGACTGTACAAAGGTGATAGAGGCAACCTTCTTATATTAATGCTCGTCACAACTCTGTTAAGGGAATGTTGAGGCTAAAAACTTTACCGACAGAACACTGATATTTTTCTGCAAAATTTCGTACTGATTACACAAAATTACAAATGCTTTTACGCAATGAAAATACGTGTAAAAATAAATAGGAGCATTGCTCGATATGTGACGAAAACGAACACAAAATTTTTAATCTCAAGCTGTCAGTCAGCGTAATATTTGCCTAATCCAAAAGATCCGCAGCTTGTACATACCGAAAATGTGGATGTTCCAAACAGAAAAATTTTGAAGAACATTACTTTACCTTCGTATCTGCACTTGGAAGCTTAAGAATAAGTTTGCAGAAAGATTTCTACATATATACAGGGTATTTCTTAACCTCCGCCCACGCGAAGTACATAGCGTTATTCCTTATGGAAAATTGAATCAAAATGTCCTGAACCATTTTTGTCTTTGATGCTTAACGAAGCAGATATTCTTTAATAAATTCCAGCAAGCCGCGCCGTTCTTTAGAAATATACACGTCTGTGAGCTGAGCGCCTGGTAGTGTGCGTGAATGTAGCGACGTGTATACTTCTAAAGGATGGCGCGGATTTGCTGAAATTTATTAAAAAATATCTGCTTCGTTAAACATCAAAGACAAAAATTTTTCAAGATTTTTCGATTTAATTTTTCATAAGGAATAACGCTATGTGCTTCATGGCGAAGGTTAAAAACACCCTGTATAGCTAGATTTTCCGTTCAATATGGTAAAACAAAGCAACACACATTTATGTAAGTTCTGTATATACAAGAAATACGAAAATAGCGTGATTACGTTAGTGACGATCGTCTCTGCATTATCGATATTATTTGAATTCGTTATCGACTCTAGCATCCCCTTAACCGTAAATTTTATTTTGTAATAACGAAAATATGCAGCAACATAGTCATCTTGCCCGGGTTCGTTGCCTAGTAACAGAGTAAAAGAAGGCCATGTATAAAATATGTATTCTGACTAGTAGTTTCAGAGTTTCCGCGAGAGATCTTAACAACCCTCTTCCCATCATGAGAAACTTTACCTCGCCCTTTACTCCGCCCTTAGACCGGGGCGGGTGTATTTTAATACGCTCTATTTCAATTATTTAATAAATGAAAATTGTATCATTACCAGAAACAATATATACTTGTAAGAAATCTCATTCTAGCTAGTAACACAACACTTAATTTTATTCAGTCACGATCAATCTCACACAGAACAAATATTCGAAATACATCTCATTGATATCTTATCGCGATATAGGATGTATTCGGATATTTGTTCTGTATGGGATGTTAATACAACATTTCAAGGAACTCGAAAATTTACTATTATGTACTATTAAATCAGTTTTGTTATTAATCAAATCAATTTTTTCTATTCCTTAACTGTAATATTATTCTGATTTTAATGAAACTCAGGTAAAGTATTTATGTTTTAAAAGGATCATTTCGCGATTTTGTATCCACTGTTCCTCTTAAGATAAATACTAAGAAAAGCAACATTCTTTTGGGACTATATAGCCCCGGTCTTCTCTATATGCATGAATATCGGTCTGACGTAAGCTATTTTTGACTCACCTTTCATAGTGTCATTCCTAGGAGATCGTCCTGAAACAAAGTTCGCACAAAACATTAACGGATTATGTATCAGAATGTTCACGAAACTACATTAGAGCTACATACATCAGACAAAATAACAGGCGTAACAAAACGAGCTAGTACGAAGTGGTAATTTAAATTTTATACGCGCACATATCGGCTGTACATATGTATGACTTCAAATCAAACATTTTCTAGAAGATGTAAGTTTATAGAATGTGCGTTTTATAGGATAAATAACATGCTTTTAAATATCGCATCGAGATATTTGCATAAAAGAAACAAACAATCGAAGTGTATACGCGTCGATAACAGGAAAAAGATTATCGGGCAATTGTTATTTCGCGGTTGAATATTTTGTAAACAAAAAACAGAGTGTGTTTAATGATTACTTATTTGCACAATAATGAAGGAATCTGCGAAGTACTAGATTGCAAAAGATCTCTGTCGTGTTTCCGGTAAATTCTCGTAGCAAGAGTTTGGAGATCAATACTGCAATTCTAAATCTAATCATAAGATTTGTAACTTGCTTTTGTACAATTTGTAAGAACTTATAAATAGATCTACAATTCTATACGTACTGTATATCATACGATCATTCGTAAATATCTACGATTTCACGTAATTTACGATATTTACAAGCGATCGTATAACATATGGTACGCATAGAATTGTAGATCTATTCATAAGTTCTTAAGAATTTTACGAGAACAAGTTACAAGACACTTACGATTCTGTTTAGAATTACAGCATAAATCTAATCTGACCCATGGAGTCATTCTCAACTCTACTTGATTTTTAATTTCGAATTACTCGCAAGCTACTGAAATGAGGATTTTCGATTCACGTGCTACAAGAAGTTATAGTTGTTGAGAATATGAGATTTAAACACAATTGAATCATTTTAATTTCCTACCGTATAATAAAAAGGCAAACCTACTATGGGGTCGTTTTTGACTCCAGTGTGACAGATTAAAGTGATAAAATGTAAAATAATGGTGCAAGCTAAAAATGATTTTTCATTACATTTCAAGGATTTTTTATATGAAATATAATACATAAGAAAAGTTTTATATAAGTACTTTACTTATTTCTGCCTATATTTTATACATAATCGAGGTTCCTGTACCATCAAATTTTTATCACGAGCAAAATAAAGACTTAAGATAGCTGATATTTGTAATCATTTTAGCAAAACTCGCATTATAATAAATTAATACCGCAAAAATTTGAAACTATTAGTGATTTTACTTGCTTCTTGATTAAAAAAATAATGTATCTTTCGTATATCCAAATAATTATATATTTGACAAACTGAAATATGTAACATTTCGTTTCTTAAAAATTCAAGTAATGAACAAATAATTCTAAAGTGTTAATTTCTTAAATTTATTTTTAGAAAAATTACAAGATTGAAAACACGTTTTTTTATAAAAATTCTAAGAAATTATATGAAAAATTTGTTCTATTAGGATATTCCTCGTCATGTATGATCCGTATTATTTCTCTCTCTCACAATGCATATTTATTCAAGACGTTGCAGATTACTTAGCTTACTATGCTCACGATATTTTCAAACTTTCTCAAAAGCGTCGAGTGTACTTCATTAAAATTTGCGGAACGTCTCAAACGCTATTCTAATAAGCACGGTATTCATTTAGACACGGTCTGTAGTAACATTTTCTTCGAGTTTATTCATTAAGGATATATCTTAGATAAGACGGAAGTTTTTATGGGGACACACCGAGCACTAAACGATTCTGTCATCGTTATGCCGTTGTGATAACGTTATTCTAACAAACGCGTTTAGAAACGATTTTCCAAATACACCGTACGATGATATATTCTTTGAATTTACTCATTAGAGCATGTTTGAATATGTGTATTCTACGGAAAAGGTTAGGATTGTATAAGGCATGTAGGTATGTATCGGACAAAAAGATGGTTTGACGAGTTAGGAAATGATAGTGAAGGAAAATGAAAAAGGATAAGCTAATGATGATAAGCGATGATAAGCTAAATTAGGTGAAATGTTTTGAAGAAGCTTTGCAGAGAAAGAGACTGAGGAATAAAGGGAAAAAAGGAAAATAGAAATAAAGAATGTGTGGGATATAATAAAGAGCAGATTATGATGAAGATGTGTAAAGGAGTCGTGAAATAGCAACACAATATTGTGGTAACAGATAGGTAAGTTAGAATAAAGTAGATAAAGTAGATTGAGTAATATAATAAGTAGATAATAATAATAAGTAAAAGAGTGTTTAAATTGTGAAATGTAATTACAGTAATATTAGGATAAGAACATAGGTAGAGCCAAAGGTCTAATATAAGATGTAGACGGATGAATACGATTAAGATAATGTTTTATAAACTAAGTCCTCTTGACAATGTAACTGAAGTAATAAATATCTATCATTAGAGCACATTTTAGTAAGATGGAAATTCTAACAGTAGCATCTCGAGCACTAAATGATTCAGTCATCGTTACACTGTCGTGCAACTTTGGAAATTATCGGTCGATCACCTGCCGAAATTTTCGTCAGACAAATGTATACGGAATCTCCAAATCATTTTGTCGTATGTTACTGTTTATCATCAGCTGACGACGCGACGATACGATGTCTACCACAGATAAGAGAACGTCTGACTTGTCTTATCAGATACACCTTTCGACCGATCCCATGTGAAGTATAGCGAGCATTGTGCGCACACACGTTATATATAGGGTGTTAAAAAAAGAGTTTCAAGATTTACAAAACAGATAATACGGGAGACCAAGGCTAGATGTCTTATATTTTACAATTTCGAAATTATAATTTCTCTACAAGTAATTATTGTGACTGACTGTGTAAATATGATAGAGGCAATCTTCTTGTATTAATGATTGTCACGATTCTGCTAACTGTATATTTTATTTTGTAATAACCAAAATACGAATATGCAGCAACGTAGCCATCTTGCCCTGATTCCGGGTTCAGTTGTCCAGCAGCGTAGGGTAAAAGAAAGCCACGTATAAAATATCACTGTATATTTGCTGCAACAATATATGTGCTGCAATATATTTGCTGCAACAATGACATAACTAAAAAATCGTCCTTATTAAGTTATTAGTATAGGGAGAAAGGTTGGTACATGTACTATTTACATCTAAAACGACGATTACTTACGATGTTAGTAAATTCTGCCAATATAGTATTTTAAAATTCTCAAACAAAGTTATAGCAATTCAAAACATTAAATCTTGTCTCCTGAAAAATCATATTTTCTGAGTTATGTCGTTGCAACAAATGAGCAATATGTATCCTGATTAGTAGTTCTAGAGTCTCCACGAGAGATTTCCACAGCCCTTCTGCTGGCCATTAATTATGGTCAACTTTATCTCGTCTATTTATTACCAAAAACAGTATATCATACACTTGCAAGAAATTTCACTCTAGCTAGTAACATATCGCTTAATTTTATTCAGTCATAATGGAGAATATTAATATAAAATTTCGAGAGGCTCGAACATTTACTTTGCTATTACCAAATCAGTTTTTCTATTTCTTAACTATAATATTATTTTGATGAAAGTCAGGAAACAATGTCTATGTTCTAAAATAACTGTTTTGCGATTTTGTATCAATTTTTCTTCTCAAGATAAATATTAAAAGAAGTGCATGAGCAATATATACTTGGGGCCATTTAGTCCCAGTCTGCCCTGCTTATTATACTAGGTAAAACATGTTTAATAAACATAGGTCGAAAAATCAATACATTCAGAGTTACTAATGTTTATTGGTTTTAGTAACACAAGTATAGTATCATATCAAGTTACTATATGTGCTTCCTCACTCTAAGAAAAAAATATTTAAAAGTCAATAAATATTTTTTAGATGAGCCATTAACATATTTACTTAAATCATAATTTTCTTCATTTAAACCGAGTATTGTATACTTAAACCGAGTAAACAATATCAGATTTAAGTGAAAATAATTTTGATCTAAGTAAATATGTTAATGATAGCCACTTAAGAAATATTTATAAACTTGCCAATATTTTTTTCTCACTGCACTGATTACGCTTGGCGAATGAACGAGCGAGTATCTTACTATACTTTTACTTTGATATTCACAAAAGGTGTTTACATATCCTTTTTCAACAATTTTTAGTCTTCTTCGCAAACCTGTTCTATCTATACGCAATCTCTACGCAATAATATTTATATTATCATCTTATTTCGGTGCATCATTTATTCTTATAAGCAATTAGCTTAAATTATCTAGCGTTGCATACAAAGTGTCAAAGAGATGAAATCAGGGAGAGGAGGTGGAGTGTCCGGGTTTCATGGTAGCCTATATTTTCCGCAGAGTCTTAGAGAGTAACCATGCAAAATTTGGTTCAGATCGATGAAAGGATTTAGAAGTTAATATAAGAGACATATAAACAGATCTTATTTTATATAAATATCCTATTTTATATAAATAGATGATCGCAATGTTCAAGAGACCTGGTAGCAAGAATCTTCTCAGTTATGTCGGCTTGTTATTCTAATCAAAAAATAGCAGACATGCATGTAATGTACGATCTTGCCAATGGAAATATTCTAGTTGCATAACGTCTCTATGCGGAAAGATGTCCAAGTTGGAAAATTCTATAATATGAACATGTCAAAAGCGTGTTTGAGAAATAGATGGAGGATATATAAAACACCTCTTTTATAAATACATCAAAGTAATAATATAATAAGATACTCGTCCGTTCAATGTAATCAATGGAAGCAAACAAATTCTATAAAACGAAGATCAAGCATATTTGAAGAAATGGATGGAGGATATGTAGAATATATTCTTTTGTAAATATGAAAGTAATAATAAAGCAATAATATGATAAGATATTCGGTCCATTCACACATATTCATTGTGATCACACACAAATAATTTAAGTTACCAAAACCGAAAAATACTTGTAATTTTGAGAGGATTGATTTTTCGATCCATATTTACTGAATACTTTTTACTAACAAGGGAACATAGGCAACCAGAAAATTGAGAAAATTCTAAAACATTATGTGCGAGTAGTTCATCTGTAACATAAAACTATTTTTTGTTCCTGCTAAATTACGATTTAAGGATGTAAAACCCTTCAAAAAAACATGACATTTTAATTTTTGACAAATATTTTTTAAAATACAAGGCATAGGAAAAAATAGTTTATGTAAACGTTGTAGAGTATTTTACACTCTTTGCAACAGTGTATTCAGATTTTGTAAAAATAAAAAATTTTTGAACCCCCCACACTCATTACTTTTACAAATTTTTAAGTTCTTGTTAGGAATAAAAAGGATCGAATACCAAATCCATTTATATATAACACTAAAAAATTGTCGCAATTAAATTGTCGGAGAAATCAAGATGATAATATAGAGCTATAGGCAGCACGCTATAGGTAGGCGTTTTTGAGCTATACTCGATAACTGTCTCTTGTATATGTTTTCTTATACCGCAAGATGATAAGAACTTAATTCTAATGACATTATATGCAATATATTTTATGAGATACGAACGTGAGCAGAAATAAATTTGCTTATATAACAATATTAACATTTGTGTGTACTTCTTCACATTATATTTGAATCGCTCTCGAAATAACATTCACCTGACGTGTGCAACTCTGTCGATTAATTCTGTACACATTTATTTTTAAACTACGTATATTTAAATAAATTTTGAAACCTGGGCAGCAAGAAGTGATGATGCATTAATGACTACAATTTTAATATATTATTTTTAAAATAGAGATTACTTACAAGATTTAACATAACAGTGTCAGAAAACTTTTCTTTTTTCGTTTCAGAATTTTTTGTATTTTCAGGTGGCCTATGTTCTCTTGTATGACGTGAATATAACGGATATTATCTACCATGTAAGTGTTGTTGTACCATGAATTCGTTGTTTTTTAACACTCTGTATAAAAAGTTATTCAAGTTCGATGTTCCCGTGACGTCGCAGACCGAAGATAAACACGCAGCTTCCGTATGCCGCGTCGTATTTGATAACGTATTTATTGCGAGAGTCGACTACGTCATTATCGTTCTTTCGCGCGCGACCATGAAATGATAATTCCATTCAACGTCGGAAAGGTCAAGCATTCCTTGAATGACTAATGCCAACAATGAGGTGAACGTTTGTATTCAGAAACCTTCGGCACTAAAAATAAATCGTCCTCTCGCCGATATAAAAAATCGCATCATCTTAATTTTATCTTATCCTCCACTCCCTTTTCTCAAGCATATATATTAAATTTAATGAGGACCATGTCTCGTAATTATCTCTCCAAATTTCTCCTTGGTCCTTGTTTTAAAATTAAAACTGGGCTTTAAGATTGAAAATATTTGAAAAGAGGGATTTAAAATTGAAATCGAAATTCTTGACTTACATAAAATTATTATTCCCAGACTTCTCTTATATAATATTATATATAATTGATATATATAATTTAAATATCAGCAAAACTAGAAAATTATCCTTTATTCAAGAAGCACTTTATTCGAGCGTATTAGATAACCCGATAAAGTTATTATTTTCAAAATAAAAAGAGAAAAACAGGAAGAGAGAGGCAGAGAGAGGGGGAAAGGAAAGAAGGAGAGAGAGAGAAACAGAGAGAGAGAGAGAGAGAGAGAGAGAGAGAGAGAGAGAGAGAGAGAGGGAGGGAGGGAGGGAGGGAGGGAATCATTCTATGACTAATAATCTCACTAATGTGATATGAGTACGTGTGTATGTTCAGTGAACATAATTTTATTATCTCGAATCAAGTTTCCAATCATTTTCATCACATGATCAATGATTGCCACTTATCGGAAATATCGGCGTAACACGAAATGTGGGACGCGAATATTTCGAAATAATTGCTTTCAATCTGTTTAAGCTTAAAGCGACTTTATGCACTGTGATGTGAATCATCATATTCGGCAATTCAATTATGAAAATATAATTATGCATACGGGAATGTAACTACATGGTGTACGTAACTAATGAAAGATTTACATATACGCCAAACATATGAGCTAAGTATACATTCATGCAAACGCTTAAAGGTTAAATGCAACGTTATCTAAGTGCATGTTGCATCTGACCATTAATCTCTAAGATTACCATAAATCGGCACACACGAACTTATGGACAAAGTAGAACGGATAGGAAATAGGGAGGATATAAACAGTGATGAAAATCGATTAATCCAGCACCGTCCAGAGTGAAATTTTACGCGCTGCACGAAATACGCTTCGCAAACCTCACTAAAATTAAATTATGTGTTTAACTTCATGTACTCTCCTGCAACTACCGCTGGAATGTAATTTCCTTCGTTATTTTATACATGTCAACGTCACTTCCCTGGTAGAAATGTATGCAATTTGCACAAACGTTCATAGTATTAATACATCATTAATTATAAAAACACTACGTAGAAATGGAACAAGAAGTTGACAGAATTTTATTCAGTGGTTTAAGCAGTTTGCTATACAGTATGTGGGTCGATTCTTCCTGAGACATAGTACTAATAATATTAATTCAGGGTTTTATAATGAGGACGTATTATAATATTATAAATAATTCTATTGTGAATAATCCTATTATAAATAAATAAATAAATAAATAAATAAGTTTGAATAAATAATAAATTCATTTATTCATGAATTTATTCAAATTCATTTATTGAGTAAATTTGAAATATGTTTATTCGTAATATAAAAAAAAATAAATAAAATTGTGTGTAAACAATGAGTGGACTAAGAAAAGCTTAGAGCAAACAGATGGAAATTGGAAAAAATAAGACATTTGACAATATGAAGCTCATTTTATGAGCAACAGACTTTATTATTAATCAACTAAATAATTTTGTCTATTGTCATTAAATAAGTGGGTTCAGATTTTGCGCATTTTTTATAGGCAGTACCTGCAGGAAAAGTCTTAATTGGGATCTTTAGAGAAAATATATAATTGTCTAATAATTGCTCAAAAACTGCAGCAAATTTCTACTAGAACCCTTTTACGAATGATTTCTTCTTTTATATCTTGTATGAAAATTAAAGTTATAACAAATTGTATTAGGTATTAGAAAACTTGCACAAAATATAAAACATTATTAAGGCAAATTTGCCAATTTTGTGAGATTTGATTATACAGGTCTGCAAGATCCGGTTTTTTGAGAAATAATAGTATTTTCCTATGAAATTTTGTGCGCTGAATCCGAATCTGTCTGTAAAATGTGCCTAGCACGTCAAGATTCCGAATTATTCTAACTTAAAAGTGCTAAATGGTCGTTTTTGTCATTTTAAAGCTAGAAAAACTATGAATGTGTAGTTATTCATCAATTTGGCCAGCAAATTCGAATTTTATACGAAAAAATCTACAGAAATGCATATAGTTAGTTTACAGTACAATCAACTACATAATACAACAGTACATAATACAACAGTAGGACGAATGTGTGTTAACAAAATCCATATTCCTGAGCTATACAGTATACAGCATACAGACCCTTTTGAACACTGAATGCTGTATCGTATTGATTTCCTTGAATTTTGTGTGTAAGACGTTTTTGGGTTGTGAATTATGAGTTGTAAGCCAAAAAATATAAAATTTTAAATTCTAAATAGGGTAAAATGATAAAAAACGACTATCTTAGCACTTTTAGATTAGAGTATCTCTAAATCCTGACATGTATGACATTTTACGGGCAGATTCGTATTCAACGCACAAAATTACGTAGGAAACCACCAACAACTGTCAAATGTCGTTTAATATCCTTCATTTTATTGGCCTGTATATTCTGTTCCCCTATACTTTCAAAAATTCATAACTTCTAACTAGTACATCTCGGCGAACAAAAATCGCATGATGGAAAATAAAAATCG